CTTCATGAATTTAGTTAAAGGTTTATCAATTTTGTTATCTTTTAAAAAAAAAAAATAAACTCTTGGTTTCACTGATCTTTTGTACTGTTTTCTAGACTATTTTATTTCTACTCTGATCTTTATTATTGCCTTCCTTCTACTCACCTTAGGCTATATTGTTCTTTTACTAGTTCCTTTAGGTGTAAGGTTAAATTATTTATTTGAGATTTTTCTTGTTTCTTGAGGTAGATCTGTACTGCTATGAATTTCCCTCTTAGGACTGCTTTCACTGTGCCCCATAGATTTGGGGTCATTGTGTTTTCATTTTCATTTGTCTTAAGGTATCTTTTGATTTCTTTCTTGATCTCATTGTTAACCCATTTATTGTTTAATAGCATCGGTTTAGCCTCCATGTGTTTGTTTTTCAGGGTTTTTTTTTTTTCTTTGTAATTGATTTCTAATTTCATACTATTGTGATTGGAGAAGATGCCTGATATAATTTTGATCTTAAATGTGAGACTTGTTTTGCCTAACATGTATCTTGAAAAATGTTTCATGGGGACTTGAAAAGAATGTATATTCTGCTGTTTTGGGGTGAAATGCTCTAAAAACATCAATTTAATCCAACTGGTCTAAAGTGTCATTTAAGGCTGCTATTTCCTTGTTGATTTTCTGCCTGTAAGATCTAGCCATTTGTTATCAATGGGGTGGTAAAGTCCCCTACTATGACTGTATTACTGTTGATCTCTCCCTTTATATCCACCAATATTTGTTTTATATATTTAGGTACTCTTATGTTGCGGTACAAATGCTTGCAAGGATTATATTCTCTTGTTGGATTGATTCCTTTATCATTATGAAATGTCCTTCTTTCTTATTATATAGCCTCTGTTTTAAAGTTTATTTTGACTGATGTAAGTATTGCTACCCCAGCTTTTTTTGCATTTCCGTTTGCATGAAATACCTTTTTTCATCCCTTTAATTTCAGTATGTGTGTCTTTCGATCTGAAGTGGGTCACTTGTAGACAGCATATATATACAGGGCTTCTTTTCTTATGCATACAGCTACCCTGTCTTTTGGCTCGAGAAATGAAAAAAAATTATATTTAAAGTGATTATTAATAGGTACATAGTTATTGCCATTTTATTTTCATATTTATGTTCTTTTTTTTACTCTTCTTCTTCTTAAAGTCCCTTTAACATTTCTTGTAATAGTGGTTTGTTGGTGATGAGTTCCTTTAGCATTTTCTTGTCTGGGAAACTTTTTATTTGTCTTTCAATTCTAAATGGTAAGTTTGTTAAGGCTACATGATCTTGGTTGTAGGTCCTTGGTTTTTAATACTAAATATTTCGTGTCAATATCTTCTGGCCTGCAAAATTTCTGTTGAGAAATCAGTAGAAGTCTTATGGGAGCGCTCTTATAGGTAACTAATTGCTTTTTTCTTGTGCTGTTACGATTCTCTCTTTGTCTTTAACCTTTTGCATTTTAATTATGATTTGTCTTGATGTCAGACTCTCTGGGCTCATCTCGTGTGGGACTCTGTGCTTTCTGGGCTTGTATGTCTATTACTATCATCAAGTTAAAGACGTTTTCCGCCATTATTTCTTCCAGTAGGTTTTCAATTCCTTGCTCTCTTTCTCCTTTTGGTACCCCTATGATATGAATGTTGGTACACCCGATGTGGTCCTAGAGACCCCTTAAACTATGCTCATTTTTTTTTTTTTGATTCTTTTTTCTTGTTGCTGCTCTGATTGGGTGTTTTCTACTACCTTGTCTTGTAAATCGCTGATTAGATACTGTTTCATCTAATCTACTGTTGATTCCACCTAAGGTATTTTTCATTTCTGACTGGTTATTTTTTTTTTATGGTTTCTATGTCCTTTTTTATGCTTAATATCTTTGTTGAAGTTCCCACTAAGTTTTTTTGACATCTGTATAACCAGTGTTTTGCACTCCATTGATCGATTGCCTCCATTTTGTTTATTTCTTTTTCTGGAGTTTTAGCTTATTCTTTCATCTGGGACATGTTTGTTTTCTTATTTTGGCTGACTCTATGTTTGTTTCCATGTATCAGGTAGATCTGCTATATCCCCCAGTTTTGGCAGAGTGGCATTATGTAGTAGGTGTTCTGCTGGGCCCAGTAGCACAGACTTCCTGATCACCTGAGCTGGATGCTTCAGGACTGTCCCTTGTGTAGGTTGTGTTCTAAGGTCTTCCTGTTGTTAGTTGAGCCTTCATTGCTGCTGGCACGTTAGTGGGTAAGACTGATCCTCAGGCTAACTGGCTGTGAGGACTGGCCATGACTGTAACACAGGGACTTCTGTGAAGTTGCCCCAGAAGGCTCTGGTCCTGCCGAGTTGACTCTATGAGTGTGCCCCATTATGGGGCTAATCAGGTGATGCTCTGGTGTGGTCTGAAGCTGGCCAGTGAGTGTGTTGGTTCTGGTGGTCAGCCATTGCCTGTGACCTGCCCAGGGCTACCTGGTAGGAGCTACGAAGTGATCCTTGGTTGGTAACTGCCTGTGCTGGACCTGGAGGCACATGAGAGAGGCCATGCTATGAATCATATCTGGCTGGCACTAGTACCAGGCCTGGAGTAGATCAGCAAAAGGAACAGGGTGCCTTGAGGCCTGCCCCTGCCTGTTGGATACCCGGAGGGTTCAGCTGCTGAAAGAACCTTGGGCGGCACATGAGTTGGATGGAATGGGGTCTCAGGGAATCAGTAGGGTGGAGCAAGTGGAATTAACCAAGCTAATGCAGATTCAGATTGTCCATGCAGGAGGGGAAACTCAATATAGAAAAGATGGCACCCGCCTGCCAACTGCGTGGGAGGAGGGCTCAAAACAGGGACAATGGCAGCTGTCCCTCTAGTCCTCACCCTAAAGACACACAACTCAGTCTCTCCCTGTTTATCTCAGGTACCTCTTGAGCTGCTATCCCTCCACTGGAGCCCAGGGTGAGTGCCTGGGAGAGAGAGAGAGTCTATGCGAGGGGCCTTTAAGAGGATGCCTGGATTTCCAGCCACCTTTCATCTTTCTTGAAAGATGGAATCCTGTTTCTTTGGCTGTTTACACAGTCAGATGTTGTGGGAGCTTCTCCTCCCAGCACTGGTACTCTGGACTGTGGAGCCTGGCATGAGGCTGAGACCCCTTGTTCTTCAGGTGGGGCCTATGCAGCTGAGATATCCCTCCTGATTCTCAACTGCCACACGTGGTTGTGGGGCCAGCCCATTTTGTGTTTCCGGTCCTCCTTCCAGTTTCAATGTAGCTTCTATTTTGTATCCCCAGTTATAGGAGTTCTGTTTAGCTAGTCTTTAGATGGTTCTCCAGGTTGATTGTTGCATAATTTAATTCTAATTTTAATGTGGTCATAGTGTTTACCTACTCTGCCATCTTGACCTGAATATCAAAAGTCTTTTTACAATATCGAAATTTCCAGAGACATACCCCACTGAGGCTGGGAAAAGGGCCAAACAGTTCTTCATTAGAGTCTGTATTTTTTTAAATTGTGGTAATACACACATAAAAAATAAAATTTACAATCTTAACCAGTTTTCAGTGTAGTGTTTCTATGGCATTTTAACATATTTTCTGTACTTTTAATATTATCTCCAAGAAAGAATAAAGGGTCACAGACACATTTTCCAAAGAGCAAAAACAATACCTAGCTCATTAATGAAACTGTGAGAGAAGACTTAACATTCAGGTAAGGGTTGTTACTAATCTAACTCTAACCGTTTATTTACTGAAATGAGATCCTACTAATAGGCATTAGGAGTAGATAGGCAAATGATTAAGAATTGATTTGCTAAGTTGTGTAAATTCCTAAAATACATCAGAAATCTAGGAGTTAGATATCACTGATATGAGAGATTCATAAAATTGGCACAAAGAATATAGACATGTAAAATATCATTTCCAACCTAACTTGCTTCAAGGACTTAATTAAAAATGCTATGGGAAATATTTTTTGTTTTGCTTATTTTCATGTCATAATTATATTCTTATGAATTATCCAACGTATATTGGAAAAAAGTCAGTATTTTGGAGAATATATATAGGCCTATAGTTCTTTTTTAAAAAAATACTGAGCAAACAGAAATCAGAGGTGGCAAAAGATGATGAAAAAGAGAATCTTCATATACGAAAGTGAAAAGCTTATCATTTTAAACATTTTTTAAAAAAGAAGACTGAGAGACTAATGTAATAGTATATAC